TTATTCTTATAAATATCATCCTTATCATCAATTCTGAAAAGGAAAAAGTAGATGAAAAAATATGAAGCTTATAATGAGCTTATTTACCAACTCTACCCTATGTACCCTTCATAACCACAGTTATCCTTTTGTGAGAAAGTGTGGTTTGGACAAAGGAAAAAGGTTGGAGTTGTATTTTTTCTTCTATACATACATTTTAGGATCTTATTTGCGTCTGTCATACATCTAACGGGAAGAGACAGTGGCCAAAATCCTGTTGCTTGGCTAAATAAATCCCACTAGAGTAGGCCTAGTGAACAAATAGGGAGTTAATGAGTCACGTTCTCTGAAAGTTCAGATGGGCCTACTTTAACTGCCATGTACTATGTTAGGTAAAAGGTAAAGGTAAAGGTTCCCCTAGATAATTAACATTTATTCTTATAAATATCGTCCTTTTCATCAATTCTGAAAAGAAAAAGTAGATGAAAAAATATGAAGCATATAATGAGCTTATTTACCAACTCTATCCTATGCACCCTTCATAACCACAGTTATGCTTTTGTGAGAAAGTGTGGTTTGGACAAAGGAAAAAGGTTGGAGTTGTATTTTTTTTCTTCTATACATACATTTTAGGATCTTATTTGCGTCTGTCATACATCTAACGGGAAGAGACAGTGGCCAAAATCCTGTTGCTTGGCTAAATAAATCCCACTAGAGTAGGCCTAGTGAACAAATAGGGATTTAATGAGTCAAGTTCTCTGAAAGTTCAGATGGGCCTACTTTAACTGCCATGTACTATGGTGCCCACAGCGCCACCACGTCCCCTATGTACTATGTTAAATCAATGCAACTCCCAGAAGAGTTGACTCATCGAATCCCCATTGATTCAATGAACCTACTTTACTGCACTAAGCAACAGGATTTGCCCAACGAGAAATAAACAAATTAGGTGTCATGTGGATTACAGGGAGAAAATGAGCCACATGATTTCTGGTCTCCAGAAAGATAAAAGTATTGGCACACTTTAAAATACAGACACTAGTCCCCCCCATTAATAATCTAAAACATTTCAGGCACTTATTAACATACTGATATTTTATCATTATTGCTGTCTGTATTATTGAATGATACAGCATAGAGGCAATAAGAAAGCACCTGGCCATGTAAACTTTCCATTTCTATCCAATCATATTTAAAACCACTTGCATGTATTGACCTACAGATGTCTTAACTTGCCATTCAACAACAACCTAGGCAGATACACTGTTGATATATTAGCACAACACATACTGCAACACAGTGTGCGTTTAAATGCAAACAATGGTACATGGAAAATTGATGAGGGCAAAGGAATTTCCAAGTGACTCTATCTTGGTATAAATCCAGATTTAACAGACATTGTTAACAAAAGTGAATTTGGCACAGCTATTTTAACAACTGAAATGAAATATGAACAAATGGGTGTAGGTCCTTCCTTCCCCAACCTGCCAGATTTGGCTGAAATAAGCTAGCTAGAATTTCAACACTTACTTGATGGTCCAATACATAAATAACTCCAGAAATAATCAATACACCCACTGCAATGTGAAAAAAATTCATACAGTATAATATATTCAAAACATATCTGGGGGAACTTTTTGTTTTATACATGTATTGTCAAAAAGAGATTAAAAGGTGCCAGCTGAGTTGTCAGCACAGGAAGTTAAAGCAATATAAAAAAAATGATTATACCACCATTCTAAATTCTATAGGCAGCAAAAACACTGCTTTAATAAAGAATTCTTATTATTACATCCATACTTATTTAGATATTTGGTTTATTCTAGTGCAGTCTACTCAGAAGTATATGGGAATAAGTATTTGGGAACACAGACAGCAATTTTCCGACATTAAAGGCTCCCCCACTATCCTGAGGTTTCCAAACCTCAAGGGATCCCTCTAGGGAGTCTTGGAACCTGAAGAAGAGACAGGAAGTTTAAAATTTTATTCTATTAAAAATTTTTGTCACTGGATGATGACACCATCTGAGTTGGCAACATAAAGTTACAATGGAAGGAGTCAGCCAGAGAGTCAGATCCAGTGATAAAATAAAGCATCATGAATTGATCCTCAGAAAACAAACTTCTTGTTCTCAGACTAGTAATTCTATTTCTCAGTTTTCACCTTTTCCATCTCCTAAATATAGCATAATTCTACAGTACTTGTAACTGATTTAGTCTCACTGACAAGTTTCACACCAAGCTTTAAGCAAGAATTCCAGACACGGTTGGCTCATCCTTTATGAAAAAGCCAGCTTATTTGCACATTGTCAATTGTTCCTGCTTAGCTCCTTCCACTAGCATAACTGGTTATAGTAACAAGGAGTTGACCCACAAGAAGCCGCTTAATGATGTCTAAATCTTAGCTTGTAGCTCCAAAACAAGTGACAGATCTGTAGTGGTTGATTTGAAGTCAAGAAGGGTAAGCCAACTTCAATCTATGGCTTGCTAGAAGTATGACAAACCAGGAGTACTCATTCAGATACTGTATAACACACTGCTTTTTCCTGTTAATGAGTTTCTTGTTACTGAAAACCACTCACATTGATGAGACGAGACAAGAAGGAGCAATTAAGGTAACATGGCACCATTACACATACTTGTGAACAGTAAGGTGCCATGCCTTTGACTTCTGGCATAAGGTTTTCTGTGAACGTGGCTACTTCCTGCACCCACTACATCAAACCTACAGCACTGCCTCTTTCTCTGCCAGCTGTCTGTCCAAACTTTCTCAGATTCCTGGATTTTGTATTAGTGACCCTGTTAGTGAAGCATTTAGTTGGCAAGTTTGGACTGGAGTATGTCCTCTCCTGAACTTCAGTGTAAGATACGAAACCCATAATAATTTGTATTTAAGTCTGAATACAGTAATGCCTTCCAGCATATACCTGAGCCTGCTGTTCAAAATCCAGCTCACAAAGAAAACTGATGATATCATTTCTCAAGAACTATGTCTAAACCCCACAAACAGCCACAAAAATGATTGTGTCTGGCTTTCAGACATAAAGGAAAAATTAAGCTTTTCTTTAAGAATGTACATTAGTAACCCTTTTGACCCAGACAACTGAACCTAATTTGTTAGCAACGCTAATATTTTAAATCATACCCACTTCTTTATTTTTTCTGACTCTCTCATTCCAGCTCTTTTTCCCTCATATATACTGAGTTAATTAATATTTATTTTAAAAACCTAAACTTCTGAAATAGGGTTTGGGAATCTGGACCTTTCCAGATGTTGATAGACTCCTACTCACATAATCCCTTACCACTGTCTGGGACTGATGGGAAATCGGGCCCAACATGATCTAGAAGGCCACATACTCTTTAGCTCTATTCTAACACCAAGGAATGCTTCCACTTGCTAAGCATAAGACAGAAACAAAAGTATTTTTCAATTTTATTTTAAAACCATCCAGCTGAGACACAATACAGACTATCATCCTTGCTATTTCAGGTAAAATTTCTCAGAACTCATTTACCTATAGCTAATCAAAATGACAACTCCTGATAAGACAATTGGTAATATAGATTAGCAAATCTTGGTAAACACAGAAAATGTAGCTGCGTAATGCTATGCCACATCCACACCTCCAGACACTATACCAAGTAGGCCTTATGAGGAGTTTTGGAACCTGGAAGCTTGCCTTGTTTGCAGCTTTTTAATGATCCAGTAAAATCATTAACTTAGAATTAGAAAATATGGTATTTTAAAAAAAAAGAACCACTACCACATTATTTCTCATAGCAAAGGAAAGAAACATAGGCTGAAAAATGACCAGAACATTAAATTAATGTGTACTTAGTTTTGCTTAATACATTGTCTGCCCAGATGTACAGTACATGTACATATCAAAAAACATGCTTAAACCATTATTACATGAGAACACTACACAAAAGCTGTGTTCTTATGTAACACTGCACGCATGTAAAAGTTGAAAATCGCAAAGCAGGAGGCTTCCAATGCATGTTATAAAAAGACATGTTATACCACATCTATCCTCCAACAAGCTTGAAGAGTTTATTTTACTTCCCTGTCATGAACCCTGCTTGACTCCCTAGCATAAAGTGGATTGGGTTGAATAGAAATGGAAAATATTTGTGTTTTTGGGTTACAGCTCTCAGAAACCTACAGCAATCTTGGCCATGCTGTTTCTGGGTTCTGACAGTTGCAGTAAAAAAATGAAAATAATTTTTAAAAATCCTGTATTTCAGGCTAACATATAGTGTCTAGGCCAAAACCACCCAGTGAACTTCACAGCCAAGTAAACATCTGAACCTGTGATTCTTCAATCTCAACCCAACACCCACATCTGAACCTGTGATTCTTCAATCTCAATCCAACACCCTGAGCTACCCTAACTCACTAGGCAGCATGCTCTTCCGTATCTGCGTATACCTATGTGGCTGAAAATAAGACATAAGACATAAGAAATTTATTTGTCATTGCGCTCACAAGTGGGTGCAACGAAATGAGGTGCTCTTCCCCAAGGTAAAACTGGACAACGCTACAAAAAAAAGTTAAAATATACACAACTTTCACCATCCAAATATAGATACCCCGTTTTCTCTCAGCAATTAAAATTCCACCAAAAACCTATGGCCCCGCATTTAAACTCAATACTGCACTTGGGTAAAAACTGTTCTTGAATCTGCTTGTCCTTGCTTTCAATACCCTGAATCTCCTTCCTGATAGAATTTCCAGATGGCCAGTCCGGCCCTGCCCTGAGCTACCCTAACTCACTAGACAGCGTGCTCTTCCGTATCTGCGTACACCTATGTGGCTGAAAATGTAATATATAAAGCAGCCCTTGGGGATGTTATACAATTCTTCCAAAGAGAGGAGTGAAAATGCAATATATAAAGCAGCCCTTGGAGATATCCATATTTTGCCTGTTACTCAGAGGTTCTAGAATGACTGTATGTGCTTTCAGTTGGTCAATGGTTCACAAAATGGGAACAAACAATAGCAAGAGAAGTACTTACAGCTTTGGCTTAGCAAACACAGGTGGGGGTGTTTTTGTAGGTGAAAGCAAGCTACCAGGATGCAGAGGAGACTTATCGGTTTTGGAGTTGCCATTCATCACCCCATTTACTCCATAGCTAAGATGAACACCATTGGTTTTCTTCTCAGCAGAGTTAAGCTGCAATTGTAGAGCTGCAGTGCTCGATCTGGCATTGTTCATCTGAAGGCCCTCAGAAGGCTTTGGGTGAAGTTCAATTGAACTAATCTCAAGATCTGGAGGTGGAGGTGGGAAGTTGTGGAACTCATCATCATTTTGTTCTTGTTCCTGGCTGCTGCTTTCAGAATTGGCTAAAATGGAGGGAGGAGAGAGAGAGATAGTATAGCATTATTGGGGACTGCAACTGTAACAGATAGTTTGAATTATCCTCACTAATGTACTATTAGTTCATTGAAGGTGAGATCACCATATTAGTTTATAACACTTTACAGTTATGCCAGAAGGATTGTCATTCTCAAGTTCTCATGAACATTTGAGCTGATGTAACCATCTTCATGAATATTTATTGATGGCTGTTGCCAATGATGTGGGATGAACTGCTTGCCAGTTAAGAATAGCAACTGATTTATGAGTGTTCAAGCACTGGCCAAAGGAGTGAATTTTACTTATCAGAGTTTTGTTAACACTCATCACAGATATTTAACATTACTGGCGTAAGAAGGACCAATTTCTTCCAAGGTTTTTCTATGCATTCCTGGTATACATGTTATGCTGATAGCATTAGTGCATTTTTGCTTGTTAACGTAACATGTTTTTTTCTGTTTTGCCTCTGCTGCCACCTAGCCTCAGAAACTTGATTTTAAAATAAGACCTGTTTACTTAACCTGAATATAGTTTGGAAACACAAAATTTAAGATTAAGGGGGGAGGGACAATAATCCACCTTTCTTTTTAACCATCTTGATGAATTAATGAACTTGCAATGCATCCTTTTCAAACTGGCAGCTTTGTCAATTAGTATGTAAGTTTGTTATCTAGTGAATAGGCATCTTGGCTTGTTCTGAAATATATATATATATATATGTGAACGAAATATACCAGAACACTCATAGGTTTAAGTTTGAAGTCAAAATTAGAAAAGCTAGGTTTAACTCTCATGTACTAGTTAGAGACATTTTAGCGCCTTGGAGTCTCATGCTGTGGTAAAACCTAATTAGATTTAAAGTGCTGACATTCTATGTATGACATTGTATCCTGTATAGTCATAAACAAGGGCCATTAGTATCAGCCACTAGCTTTGTATTGTTAAAATGAAGAAACACAGGGAGTCAGGAAATACTCAACAATACAAGAAGTGTATGTGTGTGTTACTTTATTTGATGTCATTCTCCATTGTGTTTGTTAGTTCTGGATGTTTAAATGGAACACATTTGATTCTGCACACACAACACTCCTTTGGGCATGGAGTAGTGCTGAAATTCTCATTGAGGTCAGAAAATACTCCACAACCTATATAATGATTTTTTTAAAAAATCTTAACACTTGAGGGCTGAAACACAGATTGAATACTATTCTCAGATGTTAACTCCTTGACTTCTGCAGTTTACAAATGCAGGACATTCTGGTTTAGAGCAAAGGCTTTGGGGTTTCATCAGTATGAGTTTTCCTACATCAGCAACGCATCATTTAAAATGTAATTGCAATCATATAATTAGTAATCAAGACTGAGAGATCAAACTGTGGCCCACATTTCCTAAGGGAATGGGGGAAACAACACTCTTTCAGCTGCAGATGTTGAGAGAGTACTTGACCTTCCCATTTACAAGCTGCATTTCTAGCGGTTTAGAGGCATCCATATGTCTTATTTTCTTATTTCCTTATGTCTTTGAGGATTAGGCAGAAGTCTCTTCACCATGTCAACATTACACATTCTTCCTACCCAGATGCAGAGTAATCAGTCAGCACTGGAGGATGTGGGAAAGACCTTCAGAGACTAAACAGGAGATAGACTCATAAGAGGAAACAGGCTGTCCCACTCTGTTGCTGCAGCTGTGTCAAAGAGGGGCCAGAAGATATCAACAAGTTTCATAGGCACATAAAACATCACATCCACGCTGCTGAATACCTGACAACACAGTCAGTTTTGCACTGCTGGTGACTGATCCATAATCATTTCGCGCTGTACATGTGAAGATTCCTGCATCCTCAAGGAAGGTCTCAGCAATTACCAATGTGCATATCTCCTCTAAGACAAAAAGAAGGAAGGAAAGCAAGAAAATTAGAGGGGGAAAACACACATATCTCCTCTAAGACAAAAAGAAGGAAGAAAGGAAAGCAAGAAAATTAGAGGGGGGAAACACAAAAAATACACTTCACAGGAACAACTGTGGGATAGAATAAAAGATTTAGTTGGAAGCCTTGAAGTCTGTTGTGTGTTACACATGCACCACAAGGGAGGAGCACAAGACACATAAATAACTGGATCAAATGCAGCAATGAAGGACTGCCCTGATGAGGGCTCACCACAGCGAGGTAGCACTGGATCAAATGCAGCAATGAAGGACTGCTCTGATGAGGGCTCACCACAGCAAGGTAGCTTTTTTCTTCGTCTCTCTCTCTCTCTCTCTCTGCCTGTCCATTGTAGAGGAGGGCTTTATTTCTGCAGTTACTTGAAGTAAATGCACACTACATATGCAATTTAACATCCAAATCATGAACTAAAATATGACTACAGTATTAGAGCATCCCCACTGGAAGTTAACTCCATCGACAACAACAGGATTTGTTTTGGTCAGGTAGGGATATAAAAGTTTAGAGCACAGTAGTAGGCAGATACACCGTATTATGTCACATGCTCAGAGGTGGAAAACATAACCAACAGGTATTTCCTGCTAACTGTGGGTTCCTGTGACGATGGGTATTGAACGCATTAACAGCTAATTATACTCTTAGTCATTTTCTGCTACAGTTCCATCTCTACAAACTTCACTCTTGTTTTATCGCGTTTCCCTGAAAATAAGACAGGGTCTTACATTAATTTTTGCTCAAAAAAACGCATTAGGGCTTAATTTCAGGGGATACTTTATTTTTTTTTCCATCTACAACCATCTACATTTATTTAAATACAGTCACGTCATCTTCTTCTGGTAGCTGCACAAAGTTGGAGGGTGGCGTTTCACTTAACTGGGGCTTATTTTGGGGGTAGGGCTTATATCTTGGATTTTGTAAGGGGCTTATTTTGGGGGCAGGGCTTATATCTTGTATTTTTTCCTTTTTTATCTTGAATAATTTGTATATTAATGTATAAATATTTTGTTATATTTTATATGTTGTGTTTGTATGTTGGATGCCGCCTAGAGTGGTCATTTGGCTATCTAGGCAGGGTATAAATACAATGAATCAGTCAATCAATCAATATTATGAGCATCCTGAAAAATCATACTATGGCTTATTTTCAGGTTAAGTCTTATTTTCAGGGGGAAAGGGTAACGTCTTATTTTCGGGGGGAAAGGGTAACTACTGTACAGGTTTACCTAACTTAAAATATATTGAGGGTGGAAGGACTGCTGGTATTTTATTTCTTTTTCAAAAATCTAACAAGTGGGGCCAAGCTCCAATCTCATTACTAACTTAAATTAATTTTCTCTCTTCTGCTCCCATGTTCAATATTTCCCCCTGACAACAACATGCATTTCCTCCATCTATTCCAGGCGCCGAAACATCCCAAACCACCAATGCCTATAGGCTCATTGTTCAAACAATACTTTCATTGCTTCATTTTCTTCTCTCTTCACCTGCACATTTATAGAATCCAACCATCCAGAAAGTGGGTGATACCAATCAAGTTTGTTTTAAATGTCATGGCAAAACCTAGAGCAGTATCTGTCCATTATCTCATTTTAAAAGACTGGGTGAACAAAAACCCTCAAACGACTGACTAAAAATTACAATAGTACACCTAGGTAGAAGGCATACAGTCCAGAAACAACACATAAAATAATGAGTAGCATTATTCTGGAAAAGAATGGAGGGAAAGGGGGATGCTTTCTTTGGGCCCAGCAGTTCTGCTTCACCACTCCTGTTGGCAAAGAACATTGATGAGGGAGAACAGACACCTTCAGTTGGACCACTTGTAGACTGTTCCAAACATCTGGGAAACCTGACATGCCAGGGAAGGATTGCTGCAGGGAGAGGAGGAGACAGAGGGACATTTTTTTTCTGCCCCTCCTCCCCCAATGCAAGGGCCTTCTTCTCCAGTTACCAGCAGAGCACTGGGTCTTAGTCTAGCCCCACTGTACTGCCCACTGAAACTCCCCAAATACACGGATCTTTGGAGAGATCAGTGGCAGGGAAACTAAAATGCCACTTTTCCTAGGCTCCATACAGAAGATACTGTAGCCCAGAGCTAGGGTTCCTGGTCATGCAGGGTAATGGAAAGCAGGCTTTGTTCAATGTGTCTCCTTTGCAGACCTCCTTCATCAACATGTAGAAACCAGAAGATAAGCATCCATACTCGTAGGAAAATCTTCCTCTACACACAGCCAAGGAGGTGTACAGTCAGAACGCCCCTTTTTATTCCAAATCAAAGGGGCTGATAGTTCTGGGAGCCTCACCAGGCCCAGCCATCTCAGTGCAGATGAGGACCCAGACACAGGTACCTGGGTAAAGCAAATCTTACCACCTGAGGAGGCTGCTCAGGCCTAACACAAACAGGCTTTATGATGCAAGGCCCTCCAGCTGGAGAACCAGTATTGCAGCATCGTGCCCAATGCTGGCAGTGCAGGAAGCAGAACCAACCACCTCAGGCCCAGACACCGCTGCCTGCACCATGACCCTCCCGGTGTAAGCTATGCGGGGCAAGCCAGCTGCACCCAGCCTTTCACAGTGGAAAATGCCAGCCAGGTGCAGCTGGAGTTTGGCCAGGCCACTGTGGAGAACTACCACACTTAAAGGACTGAGGGAGCTGCAGCTGGAACCTACAGTCTTGTTGAGGAAGTAATTAATGCCATTTGCCTACAGGGACAAAGGTTGGCCTGCATTTAACACCCCATTGTGGCACCCCCTGCTTAGCCCACCTGCGCGGGATCTGGTGGAGGAGCAAAACCTGTGCTCTTGAGAAGAGAGGAGCTCAAGAGTGAAGTCTCGTGATAAGTTTTGTTCTGTTTGGGCTTGTTGACTCTTTAAGTCACCTGTTAGTTTTAATAAAAGGGCCTGTTCCTGCAGCAGCTTACTCTGTCATCCTGGAGGGAGATCAGGGGGCCTCTCTCATATTACCATGGTACACCGTGGCAATCTTTCATCTGCGGCACAAAAAAGTGTCCCCAAACTTGAGTTTATTTGGAAGCAAGGTTTAACTGTAACACTTTATAAAGCTGCAATCCCGTATACAATTACATCATATTTGACACTCTGGAAAAGTACAGAAACTTATGGGAAAGAGTTTCAGCTGATATTTAATATGAGAGGTAGGCTTTAAAAAAGAGAGAGCGAGCAACAGAGGACATAAAGTTGCTTGCACAAAAAAAAGTTGCTTGTGTGGTAGAGACTGAATTGTGTCAAGAGACATGTTCAGTTACTCTTACAATAACTCTGTACAGTAGCACTAGTCCCATATATAGATGGGACTATGCAGCTGGAAAGAAAATATCTTTTGCTCATGGTCATCTGTGGGTTTGCTATCCCTGTTTCCCAGCTCACAACTTTTTTTGTTTCAAACTTCTTTGTGCTGATGGAGGTAGGAAAGTAACGCAACTACTATCCCTGTTTCCCAGCTCACAACTTTTTTGTTTCAAACTTGAGGTAGGAAAGTAACGCAACTACCCAGAATGAACTGCAACTGTCTTCCTCCTTTGGTTATTATTATTATTATCCCAAGGAAGCAATTCTTCATGTTGCACTGAGTGGTAGCTGACTGGTGTCTCAATTAAATTAAACTGTTTTTACTTTCATTAATTATTGTGTATTATCATATACTCAAAGGCTTCCTGTACCAGAGACAGTCTGTAAATGAAGGACCAATTAAGAAGGTCCAATATAGGATTCCTTCTTCCTCTCCAGACAGCAGAACAACTTCTGCTGGCAGCATTGAGCAGTCTGCAGAATATGACAATGTTTTTGTGGTCTGGCATAACTTACTGTAATACATCAATTTTAGTCTGTTCTTGATCATGAGTAATGAAAGTTCACATCAGACAATTAATACGCAAGACAAGGTTTTTCCCTCCCTCCCTCCCACCCAGACAGACTTTTTACTGTGTTAGCAGTTTTAGACAATAGATTCTTTCATGCAATACCATTCTGTAGTGTTAAATCCACAGATTTATGTGAAAATCAAATTATACATCTTGCAACAAGAATATATCTTCCAAAAAAAGCAAAATAATTCTGAAATACGTGCTGTACTGTTTTCATTCTTAGCTGCAACTTGTATCTCGGTTTTGACAGATAGTGGTTAAAGTATTAGACAAGGATTTGGGACTGCTGGGTTAAGTTCTCCACTTGATCATTGAAATTCACAAAGTGACCTTGTGCCACTTACTTTTACCCAAGCTGATTTACCTTATAGGATTGTTGTTGTGCAGATAAATGAGAAGAAAGCTATGTACACTGCCTTATTCTCATTATACGAAAGGCAGGATATGCATCAAATAATGATGAGGGATCATGGGAGATCATTCTTAATACCAGTTGTGCTTTTAATTTTTTTGTATCCTCTATTTTTAAAATTTAAGTTATTGGTTCTCTCGGCTCCCAAAGAATTTCACTTGTTGAGCAGTCTAAAACTGCAGTATGGAAATGTTTTTGTATTTACATATTGTTGTGTATTTTAGGTTTTAGCTCACTTTATTCTAAATGTTAACTGTGTTACAGAGAACCTATGTAGAAAATCCAAAAACAAAATAAAAGCAGATACAGCGATAAAAATATCCAATCAGCACCATCCTACTCTCAACCTATTTCAAATTATCCAATCACAAAAGAGGTCTCATACTGCAGAAATATTATTTAAAATTTTGGTGATTCTCAACAAAAGAGCTCAATAGCTGAGTGGCAACCACTGAATCTGAATGCATAACAACTTAATCTTCCACATATGCAGGACAGCACAAGGCCACCTGTAGCTGTTCGGTTTTCAATCAACAAAAACTTCATAATCCTCAATTCTGTTCAGTTTTCATTTGTAATGAGGAATGAACAGAGCTTGGAAGTAACTCATTACAAGCAATATCCTTAGCAGGAAACTTG